TGACTGCAAGCACGCTGTCATTTCACATCGTGTAGGGGTCCCAAGAACAGGTAAGCATCCAAGAGCGCCAGCCAGGCCTGCTTCGGCATCCGTTTCTGCCGATTTGCAGCCGCAGCTCCTTGACGGGAGTGATTTAGGAGAAGTGGACGAACATCGCGCGCGTGAGAGAGCAGTCACACATGATGGGAAGGTGGCTCAGCGACCTCCGCCTGAAATCCTTCGCCTCAGTGACCTGCGCTCGTGGGCCACTGCGTGCAACGGCGACCCTGCATTGATCATTGCCAAGGCCGCAAGCTTTGCGCTGCCAAGGAAAGAATTTGAGCATTGCCGTTTTCGCACTACGTGGATCAGAGTAGGCCCACGATGGTATCAATTGGAATTGGCCGTTAATCTTGGTGAATTGGATAATCCTGCTGCCATCCTCCCCGGATTGGCCGACCTGTCAATCACCATTTTCCACCCATCAAAGGATGTAGACTTGACGCCTTTTCTCACAACCACCATGGATATAGTCCCTATTGATCGACCCGAACCAACTAGAGAATTTGCAGAAAGAAGCCGTCGGACTTTTCGTGACGCTGCTGAAGGCACGGAACACCACAGTGATTGGACTCGTTTCAATGTTGGCAGATCATTGAAGGCCTTGTCAGTGGGATCACCTGACACGCAGATGCGCGAATTGCGGAAATTGCATCTCAGGTGGTGGCACTGCAGCAAAGAGGCTATGCGACGAGTGCTGCACTCAGCTGGCCCGCCGGCCTCAATTTTGAACAAGGTGACTCAGGTAGTTGACACGTGCCGTGAATGTCGTGCTTGGGCTAGGCCAGCCAACGAGACCATTCCTACCATGAGAATGAGCACAGCGTTCAACGAACACGTTGAAGTGGACCTCATGTTCTACAAGGAACACACGATATTCCACATGATTTGCTGCGCTACACGATGGCACGCTGCAGCTTTAGTTCGGTCTCGACAAGAAGAAGAACTTCTAAGTGCAACGCACAAAATTTGGCTAAGCATCCATGGCCCCATGCAGCAGTTAATAAGTGACGGAGAATTGGGCATCAGTGGTGATTCAGCGCAAGCTAAATTAAAGAGGTCAGGCATAAGCTTAAAGATTAGGGCACCAGGACAGCGCGCCCGTTTCATAGAGCGGAGAGGAGCCATTTTAAGAACAACATTGCATTGCATTGAGAGCCAACTTGTTCGAGAAGAAGGTGTGCAAACGAACATGGACTCCCTTCTTTCAGAAGCAGTTTTTGCCGGAAACACGTTGATACATGTTGGAGGCGCGACGCCTTATCAGTGCATCTATGGCAGAACGCCTGCAATGATGCCTCCTGTGCCCGACGATGACGGTGCCGAGCTTGAACTTGATCCCATTTCAGAGCAGGCTAGACATAAAGTCAGAACAGTCGCTCTTGAATCCATGATTCAAGCAACCAGTCTTGCCCGAACCAATCGGGCGCTCAGAGCCAAGGCCGTAGCCGCTACAGAGACTCCATATCATAAGGGTGATCTTGTAGACTACCATCGACCCACCGGCAAGGACGTCACGGGTTGGCAAGGACCTGTAGAGGTAGTGGAATCTAAACCTGAAGAGGGCATAGTGATAGTCCAGATTGACGGTAAACCCAGACCGTGACGCTTGCAGGATGTTCGACATACACTGTATGCAGTAATATCTTTTCGCCTTTTTGCCAGCCTGACAACTGTGGAAGCTGTCAGTGTCATGAAGAGGTGTATCGAATCGTTGCCGTGGAAAAAATATGTCACCTTAGGGTTGATCGCCGCGCCCGAAGGCGAGGCCCATTTCACACATGCAACAGGTCAACACGGTCCTTTACTGCAAGCTCTGCATTACATGGTCGAAAACGTGTGGCACTTTGACGAATGTCATGCAATAAGAGTTGGGAAGGGCTGTAAGACTGTGGCAGCAATGCCCCAGTCAACGCATTCCACACTTCTGTTTTGGTTGAACTGCCGTTCGTCAGATCCGTTGATCCAAAGTACTGAAGGAACGTATTTGCGCATGCCTGACATTATAGGTGACAATTGGGAAAGAGCCTCTTTCATCCAATTTGCGCATAACAGTACAAACCCTTCAGGTCTTTGTGATAGTGTAGATGCCACCGGGTACAGAGGCCTTAGAGAACATAATAGTCCCGGAGACCCATAGAGATAGGCTGTCCACCATTCAAGAGGGTTCCAACGAAAGCGAGTACACACCTGAACCTCACGCAGCTTTCATGGCTTTTGTCGAAGAACATTTCGATAGGGAGGTCATCGAATATGATACCGGTGAGCTAAAGGACTTGTGGTTTCTGTATCAAGATACTGTTGCGCATCCCATCGACCAAAATGACACAATCCCCGGTAGTCCATATGTTTTTCCTGAAGACATGACTCTGGTTTCAAACATCAGTACCTTCAGTATAGGGGAACCGCCAACTAGACCAGAAGGACCACAAATCACTGAGTTGTTGGTTTTGCCGAACATGGCAAATTGTTTTGGTGACGCGGACAAACTTGGAGCAGATGAAGCCTTCGCCATCAAGATGTACCATACAGGCAGCAAGGTTGAAGTGGTGAAACGTGCTTCCGATTTACTGACCAAAGAAGAACTTGTTCAACATAAGCAAAAGGTAGAAGAAGCTATTTTTGAAGAGTTCAATATTTGGGATAACTATAAGTGCTTCAAGATGGTGCCGAGGCAAGGTGCAACCAACATCATCGATTCTAGGTTCGTAGCAAAATGGAAAGTTAAGGACCCTGAAAAACCGTATGAAAGCCGCATTATTCGTATGCGTATGGCGCTCAGAGGTTTCAAAGAATGGTGTGCAGACTCTTTGGATAATCACTCAGCAACAGGCAGCAGATTGTCGCAAAAGCTTTTGCTGTCAGAAGCAGCCTGCCACCCGGAATGGTCCTTCCTTTCATTAGACATTAATAAAGCTTTCCTACAAGGGGTAACATATAAAGAGATGGCTGAGGCCACTGGGCAGGCCGAGAGGGTGGTTCACTTCACAGTTCCACCTCAATCAGCTCACATCCTTCGTCTTTTGCCGGAATATAAGCATTATGATGAACGCTTTCATGTACTAAAATGTCTGAAACCAGGGACGGGCTGCAAGGACGCCCCAAAGGCATTTAGTTTAAAGCTTGCACGAGTCACTAGAAGCGATAGAGTTGGCTTAAGACCCCTAGCAGCGGACCCTGAATGCGAGGTAAAACATAGAGACGGTCGCCTAGTACTCATCATCGTAAAACATGTTGATGATCTCAAAATAGCTGGGGAAGAAAGTGAAGTGCAATTGTTACTTAATGCTTTGAAAGAAACTTTTGGTAAAAGCGATCGAAATGACGACCATTTCACTTGTGTAGGAATCAGACATTCAAGAAGCTCCAACGGAACAATCACTCTAGATCAAAACGAATACATTCAAGCTCTTCGTACAATCCACCGTCCAGACATGGTTGGGCGACCGCTCGAAGAAGACTGCACTGAGGCAGTAATGAGATTGTACTGGTCACTGCTTGGAGCTGTTGCGTACACATTGTTGACTCAGCACTGGTTGGCAGTGTACGTGATAGCCTTGCAACGACAAACCCACAAACCAAAATACCAACACGTCCGAAAGTTGAACTCACTTGTGAAAGTACTGCAGAAGCAAAAGGCTTGCATTGTGTATCCATTCATGCAATGTTCGCGACATATCATCGTATTTTCAGATGCTTCATTCTGTAAGGAATCAGAAACAAAGGGATACGGTGTCCGCGGCACAGTCTTTTTACGAGTGGGTTTTGAAAACCAAAAGCAGAAGTGTCATTTGCTCGACGCCAGCAGCCAGAGTCTTAAACTTGTAACAAGAAGTACTTTTAGTTCAGAGACCCTCGCTGCCGTAGGTTCTGTCGATTCATTGATTCCTCTCGTAATATCCCTGCAAGAGATTCTGACCTGTCCTTTAAGCGCTGAGGGTTTGCGAGCAGCCAGAGAAAGGTCGAACTTTAAGTTTAGAACTTCTGTGGTTGTGGACGCACGGAACCTCTTTGACACATGGACAGGTTCTTTGACTCGATTGCCAGCAGAGAAATCTTTGTTTCCACATTTAATGTGGCTTCGAGATGTCACTAAGTGTGCACCAGATCATGTGATCTGGTGTGATACAAGAGACATGTTATCAGATGGAATGACCAAAGGTAGTGTTTCTCGCGATCTACTCTTGAAAGCAATGAGGGGAGATTTCTCATTTGCACACGCAACTAAGGAACACCGATTTCGATCAGATCTCCAAGAAAGGGATCGCTGAAGCGACACACACACACACCCACACTACGCCGTGTACAAGCACACAGCTTTGCAACCACGAGCACACCCGACTTGAACGGTACCTCTACTTGACCCACTGCAGTTTCGTCTCGAGACCCTTTTTTTACGTTCATGGCCGCATCGGTGAAAACATGGCGTGTGATCTTCTTTGTCCTTCTTGCATGTTCCGCTGCTTCGCTACTCAATCCTCTCCATAACACCTGCTGTCTTCTCTATAGAATTGTGGTCCTACCAACTGGCAAATCAATACCTTCCATTGAAATTGGAATTTTATGTTTTGTTGAGACCCATGGCCCTTGATTCTATACAGAAACAGGTTTTTTGAGACCCATGGCCCTTGACTCTACAGAGAACCAGGTTCAGATTACAACTCGACAACACCTGTTCGGGAGTACCTTGGGGCCCGCAATTTTATAGACAAAAACCCTTAATATTCACAGCTTTCAACAGTTTTTGACAGACTAAGGGCCCTCAATTCTATAGAGCTAAATCTTTGTACTTGGGCTCTTTTCCTATGTTCTCCTCAATTTTATAGGGCCAAAAAGTGACCCTCATTGGAGGGGGGTTGGTCCCAGCATTTTAGCACTATAAAATCGCACCCCCCAAGGTACCCACTTAATACCAACCCCTATGTTCCTTGTAACTTGAACGGATTGGACACCAGCATGAGGCTGAATACCTTGAATTTCGTGAGCCTATGTTGCTGGTCGTAAGCTGAGGCGAAACATGTGAATGTGCTGCACATGTGTGTGTGTGGGTTTATTCAGCAATGGCCCGGGATGACCCAGCCGGAACCGAAGGAACTGAAGTGACCATTCAGCAAAGAGCCTCCCGCACAGCATGATCCCCACCCCACCAAGGTTGCAAATCAGCGTTTAGGAGTGTGGCGGAGCCCAGGAAACACAGATGTGTCTATAATTCTACTGTTGGCATGTATATAATTCTATTTGAATTCGTATTACGCAGTCGCCGAGCAGATTTGGTGATTTTCCAAGACATGGCTATTGTCGTTGCAGATCACCATCCTTTTCAACCATGCTTTGCATATCAAAACGAAGACGTGCTGCAGTGTCAGTAGCGTTTCTGCTGCTCAGGTCAAGAATGTACAGCTTCAACTCGACATCCTGCATCGCTGGCTTTGTTTGGCAGCATTGAAGCAGATGAGCAATCATCATGTGACTTGCCCCCCCTCCAGTCATTTCAACATTTGCAGTTCAATCGAATTCAGTAACCGGCGACTTCTGCACAGGCGATCAACTCTTGTGTCCACTGGCAGAGTTCAAAACGCCTGGGCCAAGGATAAGCAATGCAATAGCTTGCAGCCAGCTTGCTTTCCCTTTTAGCCTTGTTTGCACAGTTTCGGAATGGTAGCAGTCTTGCAAAGCATCCCTCTGAAGAAGTGCCAAGAGGTGTGTATTCTCAATTGAAATCCGACCAGTCAAGCAAGAGGAATCCGACATAGTCCGCCTCCGGAACAGGACGTCCGCCTCCACCGATCCAAGGCCCGGAGTCTACAATGTTGCCTACAATGTCTCTGAGGACGGCTTGTTAGCTTGTTTTGGTCGGTCATGTTCTGATCGTTTCGTTGGAACGGTTTGGACTCTGACGAGAGCTCAATGGCTCAAGGGTCGGGCGGATTCAAATAGCTCAATCTGAAGGCCTGAAGAACCTGAAGGACCTGAAGGATGTTTGTACTGTACAAGCTTCACGGTCGCACGTCCAGATAGCTGTTAGACTCTTAGACAATTGTTGTTCGCCAGGTTGTGGGCTTCCTTGCCATAGCGAACTTCTGGGATTGAACTCGAGAGCCAAAAATGTTGCCTGACTGTTGGAATGACCAGCAAGACTTTGTTTGAGGGAGGATCCCCTTGAGTGGTTCTCTCACTTAAGCCGCGCATTTGCCACAGGTTTGGCTCATTTCAAGTTTGCGCTTATTTCCACCCTTGAAACTTGCAACAATAAAGCTTGAAACCTCTGTCAAGTGCTTGGAGGTGTCACCAGGTTTACCGCACTGACCTTTTCGATGTCCACGTGTTTTATGTGCTGGGATGGACTGCTGCGAAAGCCGCGCGGTGCAACTCCCCAGAAGCACCCACAGCTGGGGGAACAGGAGGAAGCCATGAAAGCGGCACTTGCGTTTGTGACAGAAGGCTCGGCTTTAGCTTCGCTTCTGAATTCCAATGACATGAGCTTGGTTCATTTTGAGTTGTGGCCTGAAAATCATCCTGACGTGCCTGGGCGTCTTTTCAACAACAATGCCATTTTCATAGTCACGGCAAGGGCGCATGGGACTGCTGATGTGACAAATGTGGAATTGGTGCTTCGGATCCTGAATTGCCATGCATGGCGAAAGGGTCGCAACGGCCAAAGTGAAGTTGCCACCCTGAAATTGTTGGAAGCACATGCAATGCCTTGTACACCACGTGTCATTGACTTCGCTGTAGATGCAGCAACCTCACCTTTGAAATGTGAGTTTATTTTGATGGAAAAGTTGCCTGGAATTCAACTTAGAAAGATTTGGGCAGACTTGAGCATTTCCGAGCGTGCAGCTTATTTGCAGCAACTGAAAGACTGGCTGACCAAGCTGCATGAGATCCCTCGTCCACAAGGTGCTGGCGGCCCTTTGGCATCTTTTCGCTTGGTGGATGGCAAAGTTGTTGCAGATCAACCCATAGTCCTGGTAGACGGCCCTTCTTTGCCACAAGAGTCCCGCAATGGCTTTTGCGATTATGCAACGGCCATCATCGAGGATGCCTGCTGCCGGATGCCAATGTCTGATTTACGAGTCCGACTGAAAGAATTGGTTAAAGTTGACTTACAGGAGTATGCAAGAAAGCACGAATATTATGGCGTAGCACCAGAATATTTGCGGCTTTGCCACAACGACCTGAATCTCAGTAATATCCTTTGCGATCCTCAATTGAGAGTCATCACTGGCGTTGTGGATTGGGAAGGTGCTTCGTGGGGTTTCACAGATCAAGATGCCCTCGAATTCCAAGAGCACTGCGAAGGAAATGAAGAGATTTTGCATTATTTTCCCACGGCCCCTGGTGAGACAGAGCGGAGGAATTTCTTGGTTTTGCTGCGTGACGTGCCAGGCAGGTGGAACTGGGGAAATCCGGAACAAAAACTGCAGGTGAAGTAGGTCAGGCAGGTAGAGCCTTTTGTTCCGTGTATTGTTCGCTTGTTGTTTAGGTTTACTTGAGGGATGTTGAGGCCATGGTGTAAAGGGCGCAACACAGATCGAGTTCACAAATGAAGAGGTCAGATCCACACGAAGGAGCAGGAGAGGCCCTTGTTTGCGTTTGCATTTCCAGGTCTCCATTTCTTCAATGCTACATGGTATGGGGCCATTGCTGACGCATCTCAACGCCAAGCAGCATCCATCGAGGAGGGGAAATCTGCAGAACATGCTGTGTGGCAATGGTTTGAGAGAAAAGGAAAAAGTGAGTTGACATTCCAACAACATCCTGTTTTGTGCAGTTAATCAAAGAGGATTCAATCAAATTCCCTTGCATTTATTCAATCAACATATACATATAGTTTGAACATTAGTGTTGTTGTTGCTTTCCAGTTCATGCCACTTACCTCTTCAGCCTGCGTCTGGACGGCATGAGTTAACTGAATGTGTTTGCTTCCTGGAGAAAGGCGATACGGCGATACTTGGTGGGCTCTTGTTTATCCACTTTCCGAAAGTTTATATTACAGGGGCAGATAGCAAGGACTGGCTGCACAAATCGGGAAAGCGATGCCCTCACCGGCTTCGGAGCCCACCCCTACAAAAATAGTCAAAGGGATGGTTCTGGGGAGACTCTTGCTGGTATGTTGCCCGAGATGTTGGTATGCTATGTGTTTCCTGTTGTTGATGCTTTATGTGCAGGGATTTGTAGGGATTTTGGTGTTCTAACTTTCAGTGGTGGTTAGAGTTTGATTCTTTCCCTCCGGCTAGGTCCGATCTATCTTCCTAAGACACTGCTTTCATAATGCATGCGTGGTGATCATATATGCAACCTCAGCATGCTCTGTGAGGATGCTGCTGGAGTATACAGCAACCCCCACTTGGCAGAAGCATATGTTGTGCTACTTCCCCGGTAGTTCGAAATTCCACCGGATGCTCTTAGAGCTCCGAATTATGCAAAAGAAAATATATGCTGTGGGAGCATGTCTTGTAGAGCATACCCAAAGAGCATAGATTCAGTGGCACACTGACATGTACTCCCGAGCGCAATCCTTTGCCTTTTTTCCTTTGCACCTTCCCGCTTCAATTCGACAAGACAACCAGTATTGGGTCTCGAATACATCGTGCCTTGGTCCAGCCCGTTCTCAAGTTCTATTCAGAAATAGCTTTTGCCCTTGCAAGCATCAACCTGTGCACGCTTACGTGTTTGATGTTCGTGTTTGTTCATGTGTGTTCCAGCATTTTATTGAGCAATTTTTTCTATTCATAGTGTGGCCATTTCAGAGCCACAGGCAGATGCAAAAAACAGCGTACAACCTTGGCCTGACTACGTGCAGACGTCAGTCGTTAATTATATGGATGTTGACAGGTCCATGGAGATATGTGGAGATTCAATCAACTTTAGTCAATATCATGGATATCCTTTCTACAGCTTGTGCTTCCCAAGAGGCAGGGAAACATTGGAGCTTGATACAAATGGGAAAAGGTCTTCATTCATTGTTGTTGCCTTGCAGGATACTTTCTTGTGATGTTCTGGAATGAACATCAACAAATGCAGTACAATCAGGTAGGAAGGGAAAAGCACTAAACTGCGTGGGTTTTGTCAGCTGTGAACACAGCTCCAGAGGGAGAATTAAGAGCAGGCTTCCAATCATGTCTTTCAGTATTGTTGAGTGATGTGCACAGCACAACTTAGTTGACACATTGTCAAGTCTATACTTTTGCTCAAGTGCAATGAGGCGTGTTTGAGCTTGCCATCCTGTTTCTGTCCGCAATAGGTTTGCCTAATTGAATTTGAACTTTGCAGGCATCGCATCGTCCGCATCGCCAACGAGAGGTAGGTTGTCTTTGTTTTGGGCTTTTTGTACAGTCAAGCAAACACACTTGAGTGGTGAACTGAAGATGTGCAAGAGAGATGTGCGTGGTGCTCGACTGTGTGCTTTTAACCTTTGTGATTCAAGTCCTGGTCCGCAGCCTTTTTCGCCTTTTTTTTGAAGGGTTTGGCAGTTCCTTCAGTTGCCTTGCACACGGTGGTCGGCCCCCCATTGTTGTCGTGGCCCGTGGCCCTCCTGAGGCGAACGAAAGACGTCCACAAACGTGTGCAGAGTGGCAGTCTCCAAACGTTTTTCTTAAATTTGGCGTTTCGAATGTGGACCGTTTTAATGCCAAATGGCTTGCTGGCCTGTATTTTTGTGGGTGCTTGCCTTGTTTTAATCGTTTGGTGAGCTAGTCACTAGTCATTTCCCTGGAATCTGCAGCTTTCAAGCAGCCAATTCGTTTGATAGGCCATCAACCAAACCCATGCTGCCTGTTTGACATTAATGTTATAGCTGTTGCTAGATGCAGGCAGTGACATCTTTGTCTTTTCCATGGATCCTGACTTTACCTTCAGTTTTCAGGCACTGGCTGCTTTGTTCTCAAATATTGGGTTGTTGGCATGAGTACCGACAGCTTCTGCATATGTTGAATGATTCTGCAAATCTTTGCGATGTTCCTTCTGGATTAACTATACAAAGATGGTTTCGAGGTTGTGTTAAATCTGTCAGAAGGAGGTCTTGAGGGTTTTTGACCCTTAACTTTAATTGTGAGTCAGCTTCTTCTCAAATTCTTCAGCTCTTTGTGCAGAAACAATGTAACAAGAGCTAAGACTTCTTCCTGCACGATGGGAAATATCTTAGTTGTCATGTTGAACAAGAGATTGCAAATGACCACAATTGTCAGCACAGCACAGGATGGGCTTAGCCAGACACCGGATATTTTCAAGTCTCAGCCTGCGTTTGTGCAGTGACCTGGACAGCAAAACGAAAGACGTCTCATAGGGAGATCCCCTTATACATTTAAGAGTGAAACACAAGAGAATAGGCCGCCTCAAAACATGGGGATTTGTTTGAAGAACGCTACTAGGAGCAAAGGGCATCGCTACTAGGAGCAAGAACGCTACTAGGGGCTCCTGGCCGTACTACTAGTAACAAGGACGCTATTAGAAACAAGCTCCACATTTGGAGACTTCGTGGTTTGTTGTCATGCGTTTGCGTTTGTGACGTATGGGCACCGAAGCAAAGCCGGGTACATCTATTGCACAATCATTGGCAGGGTTTGCAACGATACTGTATATATTGGAAGTGTTTTTGTGAAAACAAATCCACTCAACCGCAGACCCCCTTTGTGGTCAAAAGATCCTGTCCGCATGGTATCGGAGCAAGGACGGAGATTTGCATAGCATCTCTCCCGAGCTCCAGGGACAGGAGGGGCGGCACCCGTACCCCACTTCGCGCCCGTCGTGATCCGCGCCCGCGCTGTTCATAGAACTGTTGTAGCAGTTTGCTCGCAATCCTTGCGTGCGGGTACCTGACCCTAGAGTTTGAAGCGCCTCCCATCACATCCTTGCCCACATCCTGGATAAGTACGAGCTGATTGAGGAACAACAGCACTTCCATCGAGAAAGCCCTTGAGGACGAGAGCGGTGTCCAAATGGACGGATCATAGCCTGGTCTTGCAGGCCTGCCAGGTGGAACTATGGAGTTGGCCCAGGCCTTAATCCAGGCCGCCGAATCGGCATCACAAGCTGCCCAAGCTGCAACCACAGCGACTGTGGCTCAGGCAAATGGAGGAGGAGAAGGTCCATCGACAGGAGGTCTGAAACGTGATCTTGCAAAGCTGATACCCCGTCCCAACAGTTTCAGTCCCATTGACCGGGAACAGGAAGTACTACAGTGGCGAGACTGGTACTGGGGATTCAAGCAATACCTTTTGGTAGTAGACGGGGCATATCAAGATGAAGTTGATCGTACCGAACGTGACCTCAATATGGAGGTGGACTGGGACTTGCTCTCTGAGGCTGAGCAGCAAAGAGGCCACTTCCTGTACAGCCTCCTGGGAAGCCTGGTGCAGGGCAGGCTGGTTGGACTGGTCCGCAATGTGGAGCAATTCAATGGGTATGAAGCCCGTCGTCAGCTCTTGAGCAATTGCCAGCCCAATGCCCGCAACCGCACGATGAGTTTGCTTCAAGGCATAATGGCCTATCCGAGCTTCAATGTGAAGATTTCTCTTCTACCCCAGATCCTCAAGCTGGAAGAGCACTACTACCAGTATGAGAAGCTCGGAGGAAAGCTCAGCCCTGACATGAAGGCGGCCATCCTCTTGCGTTCGGTTGGAGGTCAAATGAAAGTCCACCTGAACCTTGCTCTGAACGAGGGATCAACATACGCTCAATTCGAGAGGCCATCATCGCCTTCGACAATGCGACAACGAAGTGGAACGAATCAGGTGCATGTCATTCACAAGCCCTACAACTTCGAGCATGGATCAGGGCCCTATGCCTATGGAGGTGGATCGCCTACAACAGAAGGGAAAAGACAAGGGAAAGTCAACGGGCAAGGAGCAGAAGGGAAAGAGCAAGGGCAAGACAGACAAGGGCAAAGACAAGGGCAAGGGCAAGTCAGATGGTGGTGCAAAGAGCGGCAAAGGAAAAGGAGGCAAGGAGAAAGGGGGAAAAGGGAAGAGCGCAAGTGAATTGTGCTGGACATGTGGGAAACCTGGCCACATGTCGAAAGATTGCTGGCGAGTTCGTCAAGTGGAGGCGCCTACTACTCAAAGTGTGATCTCCAACAGCCAGCAGGGGTCTATTCCCGCCACAGCAACGACTAGCACTACGAGTGGCGAAGATGGTTCATCCAAGGCAATTCGCGGTGTTTCACAGCCAGCAGTTTTTGATCTGAGAGGGACATCGCTGACTCGCTGACTGGCTCAATTCGAGTGATCCAGGAGAGCCCAAGGTCTTCGGTGGAGTAGCAGGATGGCCACACAGGATGAGGCTGAGGATGATGACGACCAGGGCTATGTCATCAACACCATCCAGCAGTATGAAGACATGGATGACGAAGACAAGGGCATTGAGAATGAAGAAGTGATCAATGTGATCGTGGACTCAGGAGCAGATGCGTCGCTTTTTCCTGGGCATTTGATGGGAAAAGGGAAGCCCGTGAGTGGAGTGTGTCCATACCTTCAAGACGCACAAGGCACCAAGATCCAGACTTATGGGTATAGTGATGTGGACATCGTGATGCACTCCAAGGATGGGCGAGAGGTGATCATCAAGGAAAGGGTCACTTTCTTGGATCTGGTGAGTCAGCCCCATCTTATCGTATGGTCGGCTGCTGAGGACAGGTTGGTCGATCGATGGTGGAACCCAGTGTCTCAAGCATGACGAGATCGAGGTCCCCTTGGTGTTTCAGAACCAAAGCCTTGTGGTTCGAGCTCACATCAGGATGATTCACGAACCTGGCTCTATTCGCACGCTGAGGGTGAGCCTTGGCTCAGAGGTAGAGGAGACTGGAGTTGGCCGATATGGCTGGCAGAAGAAGGGAAGTTTTTGGTTGGGATTGCGCTCCAGCCGCCATTATCAGACCCCTCAGTTTGTGCCGGAGTTCAGGGACCAGATTGAAGGCCTGTGTAGGTCAACTCTGGTGGAGTGGACAATGGGAGCTGGTGGAGATGGCTGAGCCACTGGATGGGCTATGGGAGCAGGAGGAACCGATCGATGAGTTAAAAGATGAAGAAATGAGCAGGGTGATGACTTTCATTGCCCCGAGCGGAACGGTGCCTGAGACATTTGGTTTCGAAGTGATGGATGGCTTCCACTTCAAGTCAAATCCCGAAGGAATTGAAGAGTTAGCCGTGCCGGAGGCTATGGACGAGGAAGACTTTGAGGGAATGGACATCCCAGGACAAGAAGCTGGGAATGGTGTTGGCCTTGCAGATCAAGAAGCAAGGCTGGAAGTTGGCGTGGCAGTCCCTTCTCAGATCCAAGTGAACGGAGTGGTACTTACTTTGGACAGCCCTCTTCAAAGTCTTCGAGCCGCCTGCGCTTTCTAGAAGTGCTTCAACAGGCTAATGTCACACCAGCACCAACTGGAGTTGCTTATGGCCAGGGACTTAGCAGCTCAAGGACGTGCTATGGACCATGGGGCTGAAGACGACTATGAGGACGACAAAGATCCATGACTCGGCAGGCAATGGATTGGTGGAGAATGCCATTCAAAGGATTCGATCTTTGGCAGCAACTCTCATGGAGAACCTGACAGAGAAGATCGAGCTGAGGTTCCAAAGCCAGCGCCCGATTTGGAGTTGGGCCTGCAGACATAGTGCGTGGCTCATCAATCGATTTCAGCCGTTCCACGGGTCTACAAGCTATGAGCTGGCTCATGGTCGATCTTATGAAGGCAAGCTTTGCAACTTTGGGGAGATCTGCTTTGCGTATTGCAAACCCAAACAGGGCTACAAGGCAGATCCCAAGTGGAGGATTGGCATCTACTTGGGGAAGACAGAGATTCAGGACAATTGGGTGATTGGGGATGTCAACAGGGTCTATTTGAGTAGATCCATGAGGAGGATGGCTGGCGCGAGCAAGAAGAACCTCATGTGCTACAAAGGGTTCACCGCCTATCCATGGTTGGCATGCCCATGAGCCAAGCTTTGCCCCCAAGCAGTGGAGTGTCACCGGATGACGTGGATGCTCAGGAGATCCTCGCCTTCGTGAAGTCGTATGCAGGAAAGAGGGAAGAGGCCAAAGACTTGATTGATGATGAGTCCAACCGAGAGAAGGCTAAAGAAGATGGTGGGCCACGGGATTCGGAGGAAAGGAAGTTGGCCAGGACAAGAAGAAGGATTTTGTGGAGGAAGAAATCCCAGAGCTTGTGAAAGTACTCAATCCCATGGCCATTGATGAGGGAAGGAATCAAGCAGGTCCTTCAGACCCTCAACATCGACTTCTGCATGCTCCATCAACACCAAGGAGTGCGGCCCAAAAGACAATGACCCAAGAGCATGAGAAGGGAG